TAGATACTTCTCCAGAGAAGACATCCAGATGGCCAGCTGACACATGAAAAAATGCTCGACATCACTCATCATCAGGGAAATACAAATCAAAACCACATTGAGATACCACCTCACACCTGTCAGAACGGCTGACATTAACAACTCAGGCAGCAACAGATGTTGGCGAGGATGCAGAGAAGGAGGATCTCTTCTGCACTGCTGGTGGGAATGCAGACTAGTTCAGCCACTCTGGAAAACAGTATGGAGGTTCCTCAAAAAATTAAAAATAGAACTACCCAATGACCCAGCAAATGCACTACTAGGTATTTATCCAAGGGATACAGGTATGTTGTTTCGAAGGGACACATGCACTCTAATGTTTATAGCAGCACTATCGACAATAGCTAAAGTATGGAAAGAGCTCAAATGTCCATCAATGGATGAATGGATAAGGAAGATGTAGTGTATATATACAATGGAGTATTACTTGACAATCAAAAAGAATGAAATCTTGCCATGTGGATGGAACTAGAGGGTATTATGCTAAGCAGAATTAGTCAGTTAGAGAAAGAAAAATGTCATATGACTTCACTCATTTGAGGACTTTAAGATATAAAACAGATAAGCATAAGGGAAGGGAAGCAAAAATAATATAAAAACAGGGAGGGGGACAAAACATAAGAGACTCTTAAATACAGAGAACAAACTGAGGGTTGCTGGACGGGTTGTAGGAGGGGGGATGGGCTAAATGGGTAAGGGGCTTAAGGAATCTACTCCTGAAATTATTGTTGCACCATGTGCTAACTTGGATGTAAATTATAAAAAAAATAAATTATTAGACAAAAGAATATATATCAAAGGTAAGAATGCTATTTTTAAAAACATAAACCCAATACTATTATTACATCTAAAAGTATTAGTAATTCCTGAATATCACCTAATATCCCATCGGTTTTAAATCTTCCTTCGTTATTTCATATCTGTTTTTATAATTGTGTGTTGAATATGGCATGAAGTTCACATTACATTTGGTTGATATCTGGTTGAGTTTTCTTTTTTAACTTTATAGGTTCCTTCTCCCTGCTTCTTTTGTCATTTATTGTTTGTGAAATCAGATGTTATGCGCCAAATTGTGTCCCTCTAAAAGTCATGTCGTGAAGCCCTAACCTGCAGTATCGTAGAGTGTGACTGTGTAGTGGACCTTTGAACAACATGGGGATTAGGGGCTCCAACTCCCCACACAGCAAAAAATACACAAATAATTTTTCACCTCCCTCAAAACTTAACTACTGGGGTGCCTGGGTGGCTCAGTTGGTCGAGTGACCGACTCTTGATATCTGCTCAATTCTTAATCTCAGGGTCATGAGTTCCAGCCCCGCATTGTGCGGAGCCTACTTAAAAACAACCACAACAACACTAAACTACTAACAGCCTACTGTTGGCCAGAAGCCTTACCAGTAACATGAACAGTCGATTAACACATATTTTATATGTTGTAATATTACATACTGTACATACTGTATTCTTACAACGATGTAAGCCAGAGAAAAATGTTAAGAAAATCCTAAGGACGACAAAATACAGTTACAGTCTTGTCCTGTATAGAAAAAGCACATGCATGAATGCACCCGTGTAGTTCAAAGACGTGTTGTTCACAGCTCAATGGAGTTAAGGTCTTTGAAGATGTGATTAGAGCTGCAGGCGCCTCTAGGGAAAGTCCTGCTTGAATCTGACTGGTGTTCCTACAAGAAGAAGGGTCAGGACACGCGTGCACAGGGGGAGGAGGCTGTGGAGACACACAGGGCAAGGGACCCCCCGGTCTTGGACCCCAGGGCTGTGGGGAAGTCAGGTCCTCAGCCTGTGGCACTGGGGCTATGGCCGTCCTGCCACACAAGTACACAGACATTTGTCCTGTAGAATTTCCCATGTTCTGGACTTGGCTGGAGTTAACCTGTTCCCTGTCTCCCTACTTTCCCTGGAAGCCAGTAGTTAGATCGGGAGGCTGGAATAGGTCCTGATTTGATTTTAGGTGAGCACACTGTGTGTACTTCCTATTGTGTTACATCAGGAGGCATATGGTGCCTGAGTGTCTCTCTTTATGGTGTTCAGATTAATGAGTGGTTTCAGATGCTTTGTCACCTGATCCATCCATTATTCATTTCCCGCCAGTGTTTCACTTAATGGCTCGATCCATCCATCTCCCCGGGATTGTGCAATGATGCTATTCTATTTCTGTCACTCCTTTGGCACTTATCTGCTGAGATTCATCTGTCATTTACCTGTTTGTTCAGGAACAGCAGGTGAAATACTTGAACGCTTCCTTTTATTTCCACTTTTCAGAATATTGTGTTAGTTCTCTGTGGTTCTCCAAGATTATCATGAGGTTTTTGTTCTGTTTCGGTACCATTATGAACATATGGGCTTTAACATGTTAATATTGTTTCATCCATTGGAGTAATTATTCTTTTTGATGTTTTTTGTCCCATCTTCAGCCAATGGATGCCCAGTAGCCTTTAATAACTTCCTTGTTTTCTGCTATTAATTCTTACTAAAGATGTTCCAGGATTACCTTGCACGTGTGCTGACTGAGACCCGGAATCAGCTGTTTCTCTGAAGGGCTCTGGTCCTCCGTGTGGATGAGCCTCTGTGAGAGCAGTGTGGGTGCTAAGTGTTCCTGGATGCCACGCTGGCTCTTCCTAGAAAACATGTTCTTTAAGATGTTGTTTTAGGGGCGCCTTGGTGGCTCAGTCAGTTAAGTGTCTAACTTTAGTTCAAGTCATGACCTCATAGTCCGTGAGTTTGAGCCTCGCATCGGGCTCTGTGCTGACAGCTCAGAGCCTGGAGCCTGCTTTGGATTCTGTGCCTCCCTCTCTCTCTCTCTGCCCCTCTCCTGCCCCCCCCCTTCAGAAAAAAAACAAACATTAAAAAAATTTTTTTAAAACATTGTTTTAAAAGAAGATATTCATCATGGGTTCATGTTGATATTTCCAGTTCTCACTCAACTTCTTCATTTCACATTTGTGTTTTTTAATCCCAATGTTGATAATAATGGTTCCTAGTGACATTAATATGATTACACTATTTTCCTCTACTTTGCTTCTTTATTTTTTTATTTATTTTTAAAAATATTTATTTATTTTTGGGAGAACACTAGCAGGTGAGGGGCAGAGAGTGCGGAACAGAGGATCCACAGCAGGGCTTTTCCCTGACAGGCTGACAGCAGCGAGCCCGATGTGGGGGGTCAAACTCACCAACCCGCAAAATCATGCTGAGCCAAAGTCCGATGCTCAGCCAACTAAGCCCCCCAGGTGCCCCTACTGTGCTTCTTTAACATGTAGCATAGACCAGTCTACAACACCAAACAGAGATCTCGCTCACTACCTTGTCCGCCTGCCTGTGGATGGGTCGCTTGGTCTGCCCAGTGTGCACGGGTACAGCAGGCTGCTCCCCGTCTTCTGCTCTTCCTACTGCATAAATCTGTACACATGCCATTTCCTGCTTTACTCGTGTGTCCTTGGGGTGGACTCCCGGAGGGTGTGAGGCTGAAGGATGGGTTCACGTGCAGTTGTACAGACACGGCCCAATTCCTCATGAGGGGGCCGTGCTGGTCCGTGTGCCTGTTAGGAAGGTGTGCGTGCACCTGCTTCCCAGGCCAAAGAGCAGGCTGTGTTCTCAAACAGTTTGTCAGCAGTTGTACTTTTCATGTCTCAGTTTTAGAAGTCACTTTTTAAAAGAAAAATAAAGGTTACTTAAAATTTCACGACATGCCAGTATTGTACTGAAACACGAAATACATAAAAGCTGCCTTACTGGGGAAATCTTTCTGTACAGAAGCAGGAAACTGAGACACGCTAATAAATGGCAGAGCTGGGGCTCAAATCTAAGCCGTGGGGCTCCAGAATCTGTGCCCGCCAGCCTCCGGCCTCCCCCAGCAAGGCGGTGGCCTCCCTCTCTGCCAGCCTCCAGCCTCCCCCAGCTCAGACATGCCTCCCTCTACTCTAGGGCCGGTGCGCCACAGGGAATGGTGTGACTTGTGGGGCCGGGCACACTAAGGGAAAGGTCATCTTTCCACCTAGAGCATAATGTAGACTGTTGTAAAAATGGTCCCAGGACTTGGAACAGTATATTGTGTGTATTTAATGCTCAGCACACATTTATTTGTTGATTCACTCATTTCCTCACTAAATATTTATTGGCCGCCTACTGTATGCCGATGCTGTATCGGAAGCTGGGAACACCTGGTGAACATGTGACCAGGGTGTCTGGTTCCAGGGCTGGTTTATCTTTCTAGACTCTGAAAATAAAGTTTTCTATAAGTTGTTACTTTCATAAAGAATTTAATAACTACTTAAATCTTTCTGCATAAAGGCATTAACATAAAACATAGTCTTAATTTTTTTTAACATTTATTCATTTTTGAGAGACAGAGAGAGACCGAGCATGAGCTGGGGAGGGGCAGAGAGAGGGAGACACAGAATGTGAAGCAGCTCCAGGCCCTGAGCTGTCAGCACAGAGCCCGACGCGGGGCTTGGACCCACGAACAGTGAGATTGTGACCCGAGCCAAAGTGAGATGCTTAACCACTGAGCTACAGGTGCCCCCATAACATAGTTTTTTAAATGAATTTCCTTGATTTTTATTTATTGTTTTGCTATTACAATTGGCTCTTCAGAGAAAAAAACCTCCTTGTTATTCATCTGTTGTTGTCCCCGTGTATCAGCTGACTGGTATTCCCACAGAAAGTGTTTATTTTCGAATGTGTAGTTCATGTACTATTCATTATAGTTTCAGTTATGGCTCGAGCAGTTATAGGATATAAAACAATAAATGCCATGCTTCTGTCTCATCAAGTGGTTGTAGTTAAAGGGCTTCCCGGTCAGCAGCCAGCTATAAACCTAATTTCCTGCTGTGTTAGTGGAACCACAGAGTATCTTACGGGATGCGGGGAAGTTACGGGTAATGTTAGGTTTCCCCCCATAGTTTATTGTCGTTAAGGTGGTTTGTGTGATGTCTTACACACAGGGCACATCCGGATCTCAGACCTGGGGTTAGCGGTGGAGGTCCCGGAGGGCCGGACCATCCGAGGAAGAGTGGGGACCATCGGCTACATGGGTACGTGAGGGGCCACTTGGAGGCCCTCGCTCTCTCCCCGGGTGCCCACACGCTCAGGGCACACCTGAGACCGGGTCCGCGCCACCTGGAGGGGCAGGGCCACGGCTCTGGGTGGCCGAGGGCGCGCCCTCCTTGGGAGTGGGTCTTCCCAGGAGCACCGCTTTCCTCTTCGTCCCGACTCTGCAGCAGTTTGCTCCGCGCTCCGGGATAGAACAGACTGTAACCTCTCTGTTGAAACATGAGCCACGCGCCATCAAGCCCACCGCTCTGAAGCGGGTTTCAGCACGCTCACGGCACCATGCAGCCACCACCAGGGCATCGCCCTCACCTCCAGAACGGAGCCCACGCCCGTCCGGATCCCCTCCCACCCCGACCCCGCGCACGGGTCTGTTCCTGTACACGCAGTCACACTCTCTTGGGCCATGTGTGTCTGGCTTCTATCCCTGAACACATTTCCAAGGTTCATGTTGTAGCAAACGTTAAGTTTATAATGTTTGATTTGTAAGTAATTACAAGAAAATTTAAAACCAAAATGTAATTTACATTTCCTGTATTTGTTGTGCAGCTCCTGAAGTCATCAATAATGAAAACTATGCATTTAGTCCTGATTGGTGGGGACTTGGCTGCCTGATATATGAAATGATTCAGGGACATTCTCCATTCAGAAAGTTCAAAGAGAAGGTCAAGCGGGAGGAAGTGGAGCGCAGAGTGAAGAAGTACGCGGAGGAGTACTCCAGGAGGTTTTCCGAGGACGCCAAGTCCCTCTGCAGGATGGTGGGTCACGCTCCGGGGGGCCGGGCTGCACGGCTCCTCCGCCCCATTGCAGTTGTCGCCACCAGCGCTGGGGACGCCCGCCGAGCCGGCTCCCCACCAGGCTGGCGCCACACGTCCTGCCCTCGTCCAGGAAATGACACGGTCAGGCTTCAACCAATGGGAGCAAAGCAGAGCAGCTTTCTCCAAGGGCGCAGCTGACAGGGAAGGCGGGGCCACGGTCATCATCTCCTGCGAAGCTAGAGATAAAGCGGAGTCTTCAGTGTCTTAGACTCAGTGAGGCTTTCCTGTCTGCCCATGTTTCTTTCCTCTTTAACCAGCTGCCAGGGATCATGGTCACAACAGACACCCTGACCCGGCGGCCCCCACGTGCCCGCCGCCTTCCTGGATGTGTCAGGGCCCTGTGAGGCTGCGGGGCGGGTGGAGGCCGAGCAGTGGCTGTGTGATGGACAGTGGAACCGAAGTGGCTTGTAGGAGGGTGAGGAAGCGGGGCTGAAGGGGCAGAGTCGGACTCTAGGCAGGGAGTGAGCCCAGCTTGTTGGAGTCTGGGGGCACATGGAGGGGACAGGTGTAGGGAGAGAGTGGCAAGGGCGGGGGGGGGAGGACCGGGTCGTTGGTGAGGCTGGGCGTGGGCCCCCAAGCGGGCGTGGGACCACCAGCTGCTACACCGAGTAGAGCGGTAACTTAGGTGAGTCGTCGTGGCTGAAGAGTTCCTGTTTTGTTTCCCTCTCCCGTTGTTTCCATGTGTCATGTGACCCGTGATCGGGCCGTCACCGGACTGTGGAAGCTCGCGGGCCTTCTTCCTGCCAGCTCATGGCGCTTGGAGCTGGCGGTGCTGAGTCAGCGCCCTCACATGTAACAGTACTCTGGCCAAGCTGCTATTTGACCAAGTGCTTGCGCTCTGCCATGCACTGATAAGGGCTGCAGAGTGTAAAAATATGAAGGTGGGAAGAGCCGGCCTGTAAGCAACGGCAGGCCTAGAACAAACATGAAGAATAACTATAGTGGAAAAGCAGGATTTGATGGGTGCCATAAACAAGGGAGAAGCCGGGGCTCAGGCCTTTCCAGGCTGGGGAAGTGCTGTTCCCTGCGAGGGGTGCCAGGAAGGGAAGCGGTGCCCGGGTGAGTGCCCGTGCTGGGGCTCGCAGCTCTGGCTTGGAGGTCGGGCCAGGGGCTGCGTCTCCGCCCCCCACACCCCGTTTACCTCTCTGGGCCTCCGGGGTCCCGCGTCCGGGCTGTGGATGGTGACCACCTGTCCCTCACAGGCTTGCCAGGAGGAGGTGGTGCGAGGCGCATGTGCTGGGCCTGGTAGCACAGATCTGCAGCGGCCGCTGGGCAGACACAGCTGCTGCTTGGGGAGGGGGCGTCTCGGGAGGCAAGGGCAGTTGCAGGGGACGGCGCTTGTGGGGACAGGTACTTGCAGGGAGGGGTGCAAGCTTCTGCGAGACCCCTCGCCCTCTCTACCTGCCCCCAGCGCTCTGCACCTGTGCCGAGTGCGTGGCCCTGACATGGTGTGAGGGCAGGTGTCGCACTTGTGCTGGACGGAGCAGAAGGGAGGGGTGAGGAAAAGCCGGCTGTTTACAGTGACCCGACCAGGAGGCCAGGGTGGGGCCTGACAGCTGGACACCTTCCTGTAGTCTTCAGAGCTCTCTGATGGGCCGTCTCCTCTAACGCTCACAGTGGATTTCTGGGCTATTTTCTTAGCCTCGGTTGGAAAGTGAAGAATTTTATTTTTGTAACGTACATAGTCCATGGCGGTGGGCAGACTTGAACCCCAGCTTTCTGACCACAAGTCCGAGGCCATTGGGTAGTTGGCAACCGGCTGGATGATGGGGCCACCGAGCCCTGAGATGTGGGGATGTACTTGGCACCACAGTTAGTGTCAGATCTGTTTCTGGGTAACAGAGGGTGTGAAGAATAAGCTGCATCGAGCACATCTTTCTGAGCTGTCGCCCTGGCTGGGTGCTGGGGCCCCGACAGTGAGCGGAAGCCACCCCCCTGCCCCGCCCTGGACGCCGAGTCCCAGCAGCTACCCACGTGTGTCGTCACAGCAGTAGTGACAGTGTGCTGAGGGAGCTCTGAGGCAGGGAGCTGGAGCCTGAGCGAGCCAGGCCCCGGGTCTTGGAGAGAGAGCCTAGGGCGTGTGCAGGCCGTGGGTCCGCGGGGTCGAACGAGGTGGGCATGTGCTGCACCGGGGGTTGATTTCTGTTCAGAAAGGCGGTGGGTGCCGGCTGTGAGGCAAGGCCAAGGTCAGCAAACTTTCCTGTGAGGGTCCCGGGGCCTTGCAGGGTGCTCCACGGCTCCTGTGCACAAGCTGCCCTGGGCCCAGCGCAGGTAACGGCCGGCTGTGCTCTGATGGAACCTTCCGTAGGAGCTCAGGAGCTTCGCGGGCCTGCTCCCCGGCGCCCTGGAGGCCCGGCTTTCCCGTGTTGCTTTGAGCGCCCAGCCTTACTGACTGATAGTAATTGTGGACAAAGGCCTCTGTGAATTGGTGACAATGATGAGTGTGCGAGGAAGGAATACTTAGGAAGGGGTACTGCCTGCTCGCTTGAGGAACATGCGATTTCTGCCTCATCTGAGTTCCTCAGTGATCTAGCTAATGAGTAGAGAACTTTCTGGTTATAAACGTAACATAGCATTAAAATGGTATTTCTGATGTTCTTGGCAGTTTTTTCCTTTAAAAAAAAAGTCCCTTAATTTTTACATGGCTAAAATTTTTTCCTCAAAGACTGACTTAGCCAAATTTTTTTTGTTGGTGGCTCAAGGGTTATTTCCTTAGTTTCCTCTCCTTTTGGAAGCCCCGTGGATTCTACGTTAGAGAAATCTGAATTAAGGGGGTTTGGTTGAAACTTTGAAATCTGAACAACTGTGTTTGGATGGAGGTGCTCTTTGCTCCCCCTAATTCCCTGGTTGTTATTAACTGAGGTTTTTTGGGTTCTCTCTTGTGTCCCAGGAGCTTAACCTGACTCTGTCTCCGCCTCTTGCGCAGTTACTCACCAAGAACCCGAAACAGCGGCTGGGCTACAGGGGCGGAGCAGAAGAAGTGAAGGGACACCCCGTGTTCAAGGACATTAACTTCAAGAGGCTGGAAGCAAATATGTTGGAACCCCCTTTCTGTCCTGATGTAAGCACGTTGCCTAGAGAGGAGCAGGGGTCACGTGACCCGGCGATTTTCTTTTTTTCCCCAGGAGATAGAGTCACCCGGTGCAGCCTGGCTGTGCTGGGGGTGCTCCGCGGTCCCCCAGCCCCTGCCATGCGCCACACTGTCCCCACAGGCCCCCACGGGCCTTCCTGGCAGCCTCCCCCGGCTCTGCCCCGCAAACCCTCAGCACTGCCCCGCGGCCTCGTCGGCGCGCCCGGCGGGGCCTTGCGTGTTCCGGCGTCCCCTTCCTTGTGCCAGTGCTGGACGGCTCCTCTTTAGTCCGGGAAGCACTCGGGCTCTGTGCGTCCCCGGGTCCTGGCTGCACACCTGCATTTGGAGGTCGCCCCAGCCTCCCCGTGGGGGCCGCACCGAGGGCCCGGCTTGCACCCACGCCTGTGGGGACACATGCGGGCAGTGAGCCCCTGTGGGTGCAAGTGTGAACAAACAGAAGCAGCCTGGCCTCCCTTCGTAACCGCCTGCTGCAGGCACCGCGCAGAGCAGTGAGGAGGAGGGCGTCCTGCAGGGGTGAGGGGAGTCAGGTTACAGCTGCAGCGGGTACTCGTGCAGTCCAGGGCGTACCACGTTTATTCCGCACTCCAGTGTGCTGCACGGGCGTCCTTCCTATTAGCTCACGCGCTGCAGGGTCACTGAGTGCCCACCGCGGGTGCGACACAGCCCTGGGGATTCAGGCCACAGCGGGGACAGGAAAGCCTGCGCACACAGGCAGCGTCAGCTTACGGGCTGAGCAGACCCCTGGCCAGTGAGCGTGCGCCGCAGGGGCTTCCCGTGGGGCCTCGGGGCCGAGAGGAGCCGGGAAGGAGGGCAGTCTTCTCCGGGGAGGGGCGGTGATGCCCTTGCCACGCGGGGGGGGGGGGACGGGCTGCGGGGCTCTTCTGTGTGTTCTGCTGAACGTGACCAGAGGGGCCCACGGGTGGGCGGCGCTGTCTGCCGCGGGGGCAGGATGGGCTCTGGGCCTTCAGCCCCGGCTGCGTCCTCACCGGCGCCCCCGGACTGTCTGCCGAGTGCGGCCACCACTCGCTCCCTTTCCCCGCTGCGTGGGGACTGAATGGCTAGCAGCTGCTGTGAGGTGTGGAAGCTCACTTGTTTGTGCTGCTGCCGGCACAGGCAGGGCATCTCCCAGAACTGCTGGTGCCACTTACACGGTCACGGTTTGGCCCCTAGCTGCAGAAGCACAGGCGGCTGCGTGGAGGAGGCAGTGGCCCAGGCTTGGCCCCTCCCTGCTTGCTTGCCCCTGAGGGCGTCCGCAGGGCCCGTGGCTGAGGAGACTCCCTGGCAGCAGGGAAAGGCTTCAGGTACAGTGTGACCGGGTCCGTTTCATTCGCATCGTGTTGTTAGTGATCAAGGGACCGAAGCCGTGTCAGAGGCCAACCCTGTGCTCTCCGCACGCAGCCGCGGGCAGTGTACTGTAAGGACGTTGTGGAAATCAACCGGTTCTCCACGGTGCGGGGGGTCTACCTGGACAACACCGATGGCACTTTCTACGGCCAGTTTGCCACAGGCTGTGTCTCCATCCCCTGGCAGAACGAGGTACTGCTGGTCTCCACGGGGTGCGGCACCAGGGGGAAAACCGTGTGCGTGTGCGTGTGTTTGGAGGTGACGCACGCACAGGAGGGGGACAGCTGTCCAAAACGGGTCTCACTTTGGAAGCGGGCCTGGCCGGCACCCGGTGCCCACGGTACTGGCCTGCTCTGGGGGTGCTGCACTCAGAGAGGGGACGAGGCCGCCGGGGCACCAACCCTTAGAGGGAGTCAGGGCGCAGGAGAGAGGAGGGAATGGGGGTGCCCCCGGAGTGCCGGGCACGGGCGGTGGGTGGGAAGGGGCCGACTGACCTCACGGCGTCCCCTGCTTCTCTGCCCTCCTCTGTGGATGCAGATGATCGAATCGGGTTGTTTTAAGGACATCAACGAAAGTGACACTGAAGAATATGTGGCATTAGGTCTCGGAGAGAAGCTGCACCGTCCGGTTCCCAAGCCGAAGAGAGGCTTCTTCTACAGACTGCTCAGGAGAGGGGTAAGGGCGAAGAGCACGCTGTCACTTGGGCTTTTTAAAAAAGGCGATGTGTTAAAAGGCGAGAACTGGAACGTTAGCGCTCCAGCGATAGGGGGCTCCTTGAGCCCCACCAGGAAACCCCTCACAATGCTGTCTGCTGTGGGTGTGAAGACTCTGTTCTGATCCAGAAAGAGAAAAGAGCAGGTCCCTGTCTCAGTGACAAAGCACTTGAGCTTGTGGCGTGGAGAGCGGTCAGGACAGTGCAGCCCCGTAAGCTACTGCGGCCTGTTCTGACTTCGCAGCCGCTGCCTCGCTAGCGGGCTTTCACCGCGGACGTGACGAGTGGTTGCTGGCGCTTCCTGGAAGTATCTAGAAATGGTTTTCCTAGTGAAGGTCTTCTCCTTGGACTGGTGGGTTATCCTGCTCGGCACCCTGTCAGCTCCCGAAGACCTTGTTCAGACCTGGTCCACGAACACTCGAATCCGCGTTTGTTCAGCATAAAAAGCAGCCTTGGGTGGGCAAGGTCGGTCGGGCGCGCCCACCGTGACCACGTTTCCTTGGAGAACAGGAAGGCGTGGGCAGCGACTGGTGCCCGGACGCGCCCTGCACGCTGGCCTGTGCTGAGCGGAGACCCGCAGGGACACTCCTGGGGCAGGAGGGGCCGCCCCGCACCACCCGGCGCTCACGGGGTGGGGGTCGGGGGGCTCGTTCCCTTGCGGGCCCAGCTCGGGGTGAAGGAACTGGAATTGAGTGTGCGACAGAGAACGTGAGTCTGAGACGCCGTGTGTGTGTGTGTGTGTGAGTGTGAGAACTGACCGGAACAGCTTCCATCCGGGAGGTGAGTGAGAGGAAGCCGCGGCTCAGCCCTGAAGTCGGCCGCTCCCGAGGTTGTCAAGTGGCGCGTCCAGCGGGCGGCGGCGGGGCACGCGCCGGCAGGAGGCGGCTGACCGCGCCACTCTGCGGGGTTGCAGGGCTGCGTTAGCGGTGTCCCCAGCGACGACGAGGAGCTGTGACCACGCAGAGCCGCCGCGCCCAGGAGCTCGCGCTCGGTGTTTGACCCCATCTGTGAACGGCAGTAAACGTGTGACGCCTCGCGAAGCGAGCCTCCCGAGTCTGCAGACCTCTCTCTGTTCCTGCCCGAGCCGCCTTGTCCCCAGAGCCGGGTGAGGACAAAGGCACGTGTGGGCCCCGGACGCCCAGGAACCCCCGCGGCGGACACGGTGTGGTGGGCGCCGGCGCCACCTGCGCCACGGAGAGGGGAGAAGGGAGGCCTTGGGCGTCCGCCCAAGAGTGTCCAGAGCCGAGGGTCCGGTTCCTCAGCCCAGAGTGTCCACCGGTGTCATGGGGGGGGGGTGGCAGGCCGCCCCGCCTCCCCCAGGGCCCCCCGCCTCCCTGAGCCTTTGCCCGCCTGCATTCACCCGGACGCGTGCGCCTCACCCCCCAAGGTGCCCGGCCGAGCTGTGCCTGCGTGTGCGTCCTCCTGGCGCTGCTGGGCTCCCGCAGGGGCCCCGCACCCTGAGGCCAGCGCGCGGCGTCAGGGGCGCTCACCCCGAGTCAGAGCTCCCAGAGAGCCCCCGGGGCGGCCGCTCGGGCCGGGCGGTGGGGCGTTGGCGCCCAGCACTTAGGAGCTTCCCCCCGAGGCTCAGGGACGCCTGCTGCCCCGAGAAGGCAGGGCCCCTAACCCGAGGCGGGAACGCGGGCTGCGTAGCCTGGGGAGGGGCGCTCGCACCCACGGGCGCCGCGCAGAGGGGACGCGGGTGCGGAATCCGGGCTTCTCCGCGTGCACGCGCGGGGCCCTCCCCGGGCTCGGCCGCGGGTCCCCGGGTCCCCAGGCAGGTGGCCCGCTGCCCGCGCTGCCTTCGCGGACGCCTGTGTCCGGACGGGGCTTCCCGAGCGCGTTGACCCCCCGCGTGTCTGAAACTGGTTTTCCGTGCGTGTTGACGGCAGCCTGGAGCCGGGCAGCGCCGGGCCAGTGCCCCCCGCCCCCCCAGCCATGTCCTTCCAGACCAGCGGACATTGATCCCAAGCCGGCTTTATGTTGGGGGCGGGGGAGGGGGGGGGGAGAAGCCACCGTCATTTTAGGGATGGCTCCTCTTCAGATTGGGGCCCTGACTCCAGAGTGGAGCCGGCAGGAGGCGGGTCGGACCTCAGCCTCTTGGTAAAGCGAGCATTTAGTGGCCGCCACCCGCTCAGTGAGTATGTTAGTAACCGTGGGAGAGCCGTGCTGCTCTTGGTAAAAGTCACCGCAAAGTTTAAAGAAAATAAAAACCACCTTTATTCCAAGCACCCATTTATGTTCGGAGGCCTTCCGGACACTTCCATCAGGACGGGCACTGGGCGGTGGTGCGTGTTTGCCTTCATCCCTTCCGGGGCCCCTCCTGCCCCTCACACCGGTGGAGGCCACCTGTCTGCAGAGCCCTGGCTGCGGGGGAGCCTGAGGGGCCTTATGCCCTCCGCGGTGGGGGTGCACAGCTCCAGGGACCAGTTCAGTCCTCTCCCTCCTCCCCCCCAAGCCAGTCTGAGTGTCTTCAAGCCTGAGTGAAGAGTCCTCACTGAGAAACAAATCTAAGGAGGATTTCACAGACCGGAAACATCACGTATTGACTGGTCTTCCCTCTCTGGTTATAAGCAAGTACACATTTATTATGGAGAGTTTTGAAATTAAAAAATACACAATGAAAAATCTATGTTTAATATCAGCCACTGTCCAAAGATCATCCCTATCAGCAGTTTATTCTGTATATAATTTGTAACTCATCTATTTCTTGCCAGGCCATTGAAATATTATCTGGCGGCTTCATCTTTTACTGCACATTTAGGCCATCGTGTATCAAACCATCCAAACAATCGTCGCTTCCAGCTTTCTTTTTTTTTAAGTTTTTTTTTTTAAATATTTATTTATTATTAAGAAACAGAGAGAGACAGAGCATGAGCAGGGGAAGGTCAGAGAGAGAGACACACACAGAATCTGAAGCAGCTCCACGCTCTGAGCTGTCAGCACAGAGCCCGACGCGGGGTTCGAACCCACAAACTGTGAGATCATGACCTGAGCTGAAGTTGGACGCTTCACCAACTGAGCCCCCCAGGCGCCCCCTAGCTTTCTTGTTACTATAAACAATGGGACGGACGTCCCTGTACCGTCATCCTTGCGCGCACACACAATAGTGTTTCTGGGGCAGAATCGTATTGGGGAATCCCTTGGTTAGCGTGTATAGACAGTGAGATAATAGCTACAAGAAAGAGCTAAAGCAATTAAAAGTGGCTTTCCGTGGGCTTTCTGCCTATTTTCACTGAGGCAGGCAGAGGAATGCTGTTTTCTTTAGAAGCACCATCTAACTTTTTCAGCTGACCACGTCTGTGTATTACTAAGATAATAAACAGGAGTGCCCGGGGGGCTCAGTAGGTTGAACATCTGACTCTTGATTTCGGCTCAAGTCATTATCTCACAGTTTGTGAGATCAAGCCCCATATCAGGCTCTGCACTGACGGAGTAGAGTCTGCATGGGATTCTCTCTCTCCCTCCCTCCGCCCCTCCCCTTCTCGTGCTCTTTCTCTCTCTTAAAATAAATAACTACACTTAAAGTAAAAAAAAAGATTAAAGTAAACATCATATTGTAAAAATTATTTGTTTTCCCCACATAAAGCACAATTACACACTAAAACAGGTACCTATGAGAACAAATTGCTGTTCTGAAAATTTTTTTAAATTTCTTCTCCCACCAAAAATGTCTTCAAAGTTCCCTGTTAGTTTCACCAAAAGCTAGGGTTTTTTTTGGTAAAGCTGTTGATTATATATGAAGTATTTCTGGGGCACCTGGATGGCTCAGTCAGTTAAGCATCCAACTTCAGCTCCGGTTATGATCTTGCTGTTTGTAAGTTTGAGTCCCGTGTGGGGCTCTTTGCCGTGTTAGCTCAGAGCCTGGAGCTGCTTCGGGTTCTGCGTCTCTCTCTCTCTCTCTCTCTCTATCAAAAAATAAAACAAACTCTAAAAAAGTTGTTTAAATAAAATTAAAAAAATAAATGAAGTATTTTTCTTTTTTTTTCCTGTCGCAAAACATACATACTATACATAAAATACACCCTCTTAACATCGTTAAGTGTCCAGTTCGGTGGCATTAAGCATATTCACATTGTTGTGCAGCTGTCACTGCCATCCGTCTCTAGACTGATCTTGTGAATCTGACACCCTGTCCTCACTAAACGCTAACTCTCCTTTCTCCCCCCCAGCCCGTGGCTCCCACCATGTACTCTCTGTGTCTCTGAATTTAACTACTCTAGGAACCTCATATAAATGGGATCATATAGGATTTGTTCTTCCGTGACTGGCTTATTTCTTTAAAATTTTTTTTTAATGTTTTATCTATTTCTGAGAAAGAGAGAGAGCAGGAGAGGGTCAGAGAGAGAGGGAGACACAGAATCTGAAACAGGCTCCAGGCTCTGAGCTGTCAGCACAGAGCCCAACGCGGGGCTCAAACCCATGAACCGTGAGATCATGACCTGAGCCAAAATCAAGAGTCAGATGCTTAACTGACTGAGCCCCCCTGGTGTCCTGGGATTTCCTGCCTTTTTAGGGCTGAAGAATATTCCATTGTGTGGATGGACTACACTATCCGTCTATCTGCTGATGGGGCTTTGGGTTTCCACCTTTGGGCTGCTGGGAACAGTGTACGGATATTTCTGAGACCCTGGTGCCAATTCTTTTGAGTAAATACCCAGAAGTGGGATCGCTGGGTCGTAGGGTAATTCCATTTCTAATTTAAAAAATATATATTTTATTTATTTTTGAGAGAGAGATAGAGATAGGACGAGCAGGGGAGGGTCAGAGAGAGAGGGAGACACAGAATCAGAAACAGGTTCCAGGCTCTGAGCCGTCAGCACAGATCCCAACGCGGGGCTTGAATTCATGAACCATGAGACCATGACCTGAGCTGAAGTCGGACGCTTAACGGACTGAGCCCCCCAATAACAGTCTTAAGTACATGCTAAGTCAAATGGTTTGTGTACTTAAATCTTTTGATGGGTGCTGCCAAATCACTCTTCAGAACACTGATAAGAATTTATTAAAACTAACAGTGTTTGGAAGTCTTGTATCCATATGTTTTTACCAGGCCCGGTAGGTACTCTCTCTAATCTTTGCTCCCCCTGTCTTAGGTTCTTGCTGAATCGTGAGCGTACTATTTTCATGAGTTTCTAACTCAAAGTTTCCTATCAGTGCTCACCTTTCCTGGGGCGTCAGCGCCAGGACTTGGTGATCCAGACATAGCAGGTCATTTCACGTCACCACCCCTCCTGGGTCCACGTTTTCTCATCTATAAAGTGAGGCATGTGGAGGGTGCCTGGGAGGCTCAGTCGGTTAAGCATCTGACCTTTGATTTCAGCTCAGGTCATGACCTCGTGGTTTGTGGGTTTGAGCCCTATATCAGGCTCTGTGCTATCAGCATAGAGCCCTGCTTGGGATTCTGTCTCCCCCTCTCTCTCTGCCCCTCCCCTGCTTGCACGCGCTCTCTCTCCCAAAGTAAATTTAAAAAATAAAGTAAGGCACGTGGAGCAAGAAAGGCTTCCCTTTGGCTTATTCTTTGAAGTCTCAAGATTTTCTTCTCTTACACCTGGACTTTGAATTCAGCCCATCTCAAAGGCCTTTGAACGCTGCACTTCGCCGTCAGGACGCATTTCATCCCTTCTCCCCGGGAAGACGAGCCCACCCAGAGCCTGCTTTGTGCGCGGGGGGCGCTGTGCTTTTGCGGCCAGCGGCTCCTCAAGTCGTGGCTTTAAATAGGAAATAGAATCTCCAGTCTTGGTCATCTACTAAGGAGACAACCGGGCTTTAAGAGCTTTTGCTCAGGGAAATAGAGCTCTCCTCCCGGAAGGCACATTACACCCCACGTGGACCTCACTTTTTAACCCTGCAGTCAGTGCTAGCCCGGCGTCTTCACAAAGTCTTCCTGACTCTCGTCCCCAGGCCGGGTGAAGAGCCCCTCCCCGGGCTGGAGTGTAGAGCAGTGAATCAAAGACGTGGTCAGAGCCTGCATGATGCTCCCAGCCTAGTTACGCAGCCGCCAGTAACCAGGGCACTGTCTTACGTCTGTCTGGGCTGGGGTAGGACACCGTGAA